CTGCACTTTAAAGGAGGGGTTTGGGATATTGGCAGTTTGGAGGGATATGTTGTGTATCTTTATACGTATATGCTTCTAAACTGTTGTATTCTGAGCACCTCTGCAAAAGCAGTGATAATGTGTGAGTGTGGTGAAAGTGTTGAATGATGATGAAAGTATTTTCTTTTTGGGGATTTTCTTTCTTTTTTTGGGTCACCCTGCCTTGGTGGGAGACGACCGACTTGTTGAAAAAAAAAAAAATGTTCTTGTTGGCACTGAGTACAGCTTTAGCCTGACTGGCAGTGTAGTTATGGCAATTATTGTTAGGATTATTTGTGCTGTTTAGTGAGAGGTTAGTATGCCAAACATACCACTATGCACTCTACATCTCCAGAACATTACACATTAATGCTGATTCTGGGAGAACTAACAAGACACACAACTCAAAATAAATATGTACCTTGTTGATATTCCTCATGTTTGCATGAGCTTCTATAAAACCTTGATACAAATAAAAGGGCCAAAAATCTGGAATAACTTCCCAGATGAATTAAAATATTGTAACTTAATAAATTCAAACAAAAACTTAAAAGAAATTTAATGCTTAATGTATTTCCCTGAAATCTTTTCAGTGTAACTATTTAAATTTCCCGAAATGCCTCAGCATGATAGTGGCTTTCTTTGTACCAGTCAAATTATTAAATGTAAATACACATTGTAACCTTAGCAATGAAATAAAATTTTATTATTTGTTTTTATTAACATCTAAGTGTAAATTACACCATGGTCCTTATATCTCCTACCATTATTACATCATTACTTCCTCATTTGCTATTTTAATTTCACTTCTATCACTAAATACTTAATTTTTGCTTATATATACATGTATTACACTTTTATAATATTTTTTATATTTTAGTGTGTATTACATTTATATACATTCTTCATTATAGCCTCTTCTCAATAACAGTTCCGTTTCTAAGACCATGCTGGTAAATGAATTCATCGCTAAGTGAGGAGCATACTATAATATTCATGAGTTTGTATCAGCCATCTTTGATATTGTTTTAATGTCACCTTTGCACCATTTATAACATTTCTGGTATATTTTTAAATGTTTATACAGCAGTGTACTGTATATTGTAATAAACAGAAGAGAGGAAATCAGCTCGAATATACAATACAGGTCTCCTTCCACATTCGCTAGGGTTAGGGGATCAAGAACCTCACTAATGTTGAAAAATCGCAAATGTTTGGTGCCCAATTATATTGTAGGGAAATATAATAATAGCATTTACTTAGCCTAACAATACTGCTTCCTTAACCTATTGAACCATGAACAATCATAAAACACATGAAAACATCATAAAATATTGTACTAGTACCAGCCCTTTGGTAAAGAAGGTGAGAAAAACTATAGAATTCAAAAATGAACTCGTAGCAAGAGTACCAAAGTGGAGGAGGAAGAGAGAGGGGAGAATGTGCCTCCTTCACTGATTCAGTGATTCTACGATGTGTATGATACTAAAGCAGCATGAGTCAGTAAAGGCTAGAGTGCCAGCCAGCAATAAAGTATAGCATTAACAGTGTAGAAAGTAAGTCAAGTGATTAATCGATAGAAAAAGGACAGCACGAACGTAACTCCTCCAGTGTTGTTGGAGTTATATAAGGCGACTGACAACACTGCCACCACTAGTCTCTACCACCTCCACCACCACTATTTATGGCTTATGTCTCAGTGGCCTTTATGCACCCAACAACACCAACACAGCAACACTCGTGACATACTTAATAACGTATTTTATTCATTCTAGAGTATTTGTCATGTTTCTATGTTATTAATATTGTTTATTATGTCATATTAGATGAATTGTGATAGATAAATAAGCCGTAGATTTGATATTAGTGTCATATTGAGGGACTATCTTGTCCTATCTCCAAACAAACTCTGCCACCGCCACAATTCCTGACATATGTATTGACATATTTTAAATATGATTAGGCGGCTGGGAATTTGCAAAGGTTCGAAGCCCGCGAAAGTGGAAAATGTGAATGTTGAGGGAGACCTGTATATAGGTATGCATACTGGTATAAGAGAGTAAAATTATCTTATTACTATGATAATAAGAGTACGGTGGACCCCCGCTTTACGATCAGCTCCCGATGCGACCAATTATGTAAGTGTATTTATGTAAGTGCCTTCGTACGTGTATGTTTGGGGGTCTGAAATGGACTAATCTAATTCACAATATTCCTTATGTGAACAAACTTGTTCAGTAAAGGCACCTGAACATACTTCTGGAATGAAATAATATCGTAAGGCAGGGGTCCACTGTATAATGAACACTTGTCAATGCTGAAGGGTATCTCACATGCAGAGAAGAAATCAGCAATGGAAATAGGACTGGTATATTTCAATTTGCAAAAAAATACGAAGGCACAATACTGTGACTGGAGTCCTCATCAGCAGAATGTACATATGAAAGTTAAGACACATGTGCAACATCTGGATATCTTTATTGTAGGCGTTTCGCCATCCAGTGGCTTTATCAATACAGATATTGTCAGTATTTTATACCTTTCTTGCACAACTTGTCAGACACTGCAACATCATGGAATCTTGGTTCAGAAGACATCTACAAGACCTTCTTCACGGCTACTACAACTAACCCATCCCTTTGGGTAGGACCTACTTCCACTGGGTAATCCCGCCTACCAGTGACTATGCCCTCATCTGCTACATGTCCCTATCCAGTGGCGCCTATATAACTGCCAGTCTCCTTGCCTTTGCTCCAGATTCTCCACCACCACGATGCTGTGAACACTAACTCCAAGGCTGAGGGACTGATTACCTCATCTTTTGTATATAGTTCTACTGTCTTCTAATTATGTCCTAGAATCTGTATTGATAAAGTCACTGGATGGCGAAACGTCTACAATAAAGATATCCAGATGTTGCACATATGTCTTAACTTTAATATTGTCAGTAGTATTTTATACCTTTCTTGCACAGAATGTACATACACTGGAGCAGTGGTTCCTAACCTTGGACATGAGAAATTTCCAGGGGACACGCAAATCCAGAGCAAAAATAAGGAATGCCTTAACCCTTAAACGGTCCAAACAAATAGACGTTCAAATTCGTAGTGCTACAAAAGTAGATCTACTTTTTTTAACGTATTTTCAAATGTAACAAAAAAAAAGTAGATAAAAGTTTTTTTTTACACGTTTTCAAATGTAAAACAAGAAAGATCTACGTTCTTTTTTACATACTTTCAGATGTTGAAAAAACGTATATACACGTTTGGACCATTTAACCCTTTGAGGGTCGACAGGCCCTCTCCGAAACTTGTTCTCATGATCGGCCAAATTTAAAAAAAAAAATAATTTTCTCTTATGAAAAGATAGAGAATCTTTTCCCAATCATAAGGACACCAAAAGTTTGAAATTTGATGGAAAACTTAAGGAATTATGCTCTCTCGAAGTTAGCGGTCTCGGCGATGTTTACGCATCGGCGATTTTGCCCACTTTGAGCCCCATTTTCGGCCAATTCCACTGTACTAGTTGACAAAAAACATGAATATTTCGCTAGAACTCCATTTTTTCTATCGAATGGGTGCAAGAAACCACCCATTTATGAAATTCAACATTCCAGTACAGTGGTCAGAATTTAGCAATTTTGCCAATTTCACACAAATTTCAAAAGATGCCAATTTCCGAATAGGATACAGAATAAACAAGAAAGACATTCCTGGCACTAAAATGACATTTCCTCTGGTCATTAGTCACATCTCAAGGCCCCTCTTATATTCTTTTGCTTTCCACTTTGAATTTTTATTCTCACAAAAAATATAAGATTTACTGTTATGCAGACTACTGCATTAGTGTAAAAAATGGTATAAATATTATTGGTGCACTTGTGAAAGAATATTAGACTCACCAGTTGACGTGTATTGCACGCTTGGCACGATTTGTTTACTTTTGAAATTTGGTAAAAATCGAACATTTCTGCTACTTTGAGCTCAATTTCAAGGTACCTTTCATTGTAAAACCAGTCAAAATCATCTCAATTTCTGTAATATGTCTTCCATTCTATAAAATGAGACCAAGAAAACTAGAATACAACAATAAATACCATACGAAAATACAGTGCAAAGTCGCTGTTTTATTCCAAAAAAATGGTCAAAGTTTTTTTTTTCTCATTATGCACTGTGTGCTGAAGGATTTTTTGTAGACTGTGCACACTGACCACATAGACCCATTCTTTCATATGAAGGCCTACCAGCTTTCTCCCACTAGATTTGAGGGCGCTAGAATTTAGGCGTACTAGTACGTCAAAAACCCTGGGTCATAAGCCGTACTAGTACGTCCGAAGCCCTCAAAGGGTTAAGGGTTAAAGTGTGTTTGTATGTCCTTATTTGGATTTTTGTGATGCGGGGTTTTGCTCATCACAGTTTGAAATGTCATGAGTGGTAACTACATCAATTGAAATGAGAAATTCCACTAAAAGGGACCGAATTTAGTTAACCCTCATATTTTAAAGGAGGCTTGAACTGTACTCTCCCTGGCACATGCCCATGTATTTGGGATCTGATAGCTTAGAAGCTGTGTCAGAAATCTCACTAAATATGTTCTCATTTTATGTGTTGTGTATTTGATTCGCTTCATAAACAGACTGGAGTAGTTAAAAATAAAGCTAGAATGAAAACTTTCTCAGTTTTCCTATTTACCTAAAGAGGAATATTTTTTTTGCTTTTTACATTTAGAAATTTGTTTGAAGGAGTAGGGCCTGTAGTTGAGGACCAAAAGAAGATTAAGAAGCACTGCACTAGGGGATGGGGGGTAACATATTAATATAGGGGTAACAAGTTATATGTTACTGTTCTTAAATTTTGTAATGCAAGGAAACAAAAATATTTACATTGCTATATAGGAAACATACTCTACTTTTGTGTGTGTATAGAATGTGTATTTTTGTTATACTGTTCATGTAGTTAATTTGTATCATTTGCAATCCACAGGAGAGTTGACTAGCAGTGAAGGAAAGCATCAGACAGGTAGAGTATGCTTTCAGAATAAGTATATCAAGTTTGTTATATATTTAGAGGATTTTTAAGTAATTGATAACCTGTAATGCATATTGCAGTTGGATGAAAGTTTTAAAAAAGGTTTTGCTTTAAAATAATATGTTTTGTTTTAAAATAATATTAAATTTGTCACTCATTTTAACCCTTAAACTGTCCAAACGTAGATCTACGTTTGCACGCGTAGCGCTCCGACCTTGATTTTCTCCATAAGAAACAATGTAAAAAAAACGTAGATCTACATTCGGAGCGCTATGCGAGCAAACGTAGATCTATGTTTGGACAGTTTAAGGGTTAAAAATGGGTTTGTTGCAAGAAGAGACAAAAATGGTATATCTTAATCATAAATGTGTACGCCCATAAGTACGCTTTTAGCAGAAGTGCCAGGACAACTTTTGCTTGGAAGTCAGTGCCCATTGCCCTACTGCCAAAACCTAAAGAATTGCTTAAATTATTGTGATTTCTTCATACTTTAATGACTGGCCTGAAAAGTCATTGGACTTAAATTTGATAGGGAACATTTGGAAACAAATTAAGTGTTTGCAGTTATGGGAGAATACTAAATTAGGTGAGGAACACATACATATTTCAGTACTATATATTTAAAACAGAATTGATGAGGAGAAAAGGGTGAGTGGTGCACTTAGGAGTCTGTGGAGACAAAGAACTTTGTCCGTGGAAGCAAAGAGGGGAATATATGAGAGTATAGTTGTACCAACACTCTTGTATGTGTGTGAAGCATGGGTGATGAATGTTGCAACAAGGAGAAGGCTGGAGGCAGAGGAGATGTCATGTCTGAGGGCAATGTGTGGTGTGAATATAATGCAGAGAATTCATATGTTAGTTGGAAATACTATGGTGTGGATTACATCAAGAAAAAAACGAATGACTTGAATGTATCGAGTGGAGGGCGTGTAGGGAGGTGAGGTTGAGGAGGGTAAAGGTTTGTGGAGGCTTGGTTCAGCAAGCAGAGGATGGAACAAACAAGAATTTGATCTGTGGAGTGTGTAATTAAATTCGGGAAACCGGCAGGCCAGACTTGAGTCCTGGAGATGGGAAGTACAGTGCCTGCACTCTGAAGGAGGGGTGTTAATGTTGCAGTTTTATAACTGCAGTGTAAAGCACCCTTCTGGCAAGACAGTGATGGAGTGAATGATGATGAAAGTTTTTCTTTTTTGGGCCACCCTGCCTTGGTGGGAATTGGCTGATGTGTTAAAAAAAAGCATTTAAAACACTAGATTATGCCAAGCAATCTCTTTTTATGTGTATTTTGTCTGCATGTGCGTATTTATAACATCTGCTGCATATGTAGCCTGAAACTTTCAGCACTTAGTAACCTTGAAAATAATTTTTTAATCACAATTTGGTAGCTTACATATCAGCTTTTTTTTTTTAAATACAAACAATTACACTTTTTTTTTTTTACATATAAAGTGGGGCTGTGCTAAAATAAAATTAATGATGGAATAAATCTTGACACAGAAGTTTGTCATATTTCCATCTGTATTTCGATCTGTATTTTTGAGCTTTTTTTTTTTTAGCCATACTGGCCATCTCCCACCAAGGCAGGGTGACCCGAAAAAGAAACACTTTCACCATTATTCACGCTATCACTGTCTTGCCAGAGGCATGCAGATACAACAGTTCAGATGCCCTTCCAAACAACAAACATCTCTAACCCCTCCTTTAGAGTGCAGTCACTCTAAAGTCATTTTCTGGGGTATGACAAGTTCAGAGATACAAACAGCTCAGTCATAAATTAAAAAACAGAGTAACCAACTTGTTTGTAAGATGGGATCCCTTTGTACTTCTTTAGATACACTTCCTACTAGCTGAATGTACCATAGCATAAGCTTTTTCATTTGCTATTGCAGAGAGTGACTGGGTACCAGTTCCCCCAAAAGAGAAGAAGGAAGAGGATAAAGTATTTCCCCAAACTGAAGTTCAGGCAAGGATTACATAACTTTTTTTCTGTCTTTCCTGCATTAAATTTATCTTGATATTATATATAACTCACCATTCACATCAACATTACCACAGGAATGCAGAATCATCAGGGATTACAATTTTGCTCAACATGTACATACCTCAGTCATAAATTATAGTTGTGCAGTCACACTGGTGAATTAATGATTTAGAGGTAATAATGCCCATGAGCTGTATAGCAGTACATAAATAGTTATGAGTACACACTATGAACAGTTATCAGAGACAGATGAATAAAATATGGGAAAGAAAAAATCTGTTAAGAGACAGTTCAGTTTTAAAGTGGCAAGACACTTGAACAGTGCCCTACTCTGTATCCAGTTCATTAAATTCTTATTAACCCTTAAACTATCCAAACATAGATCTCCGTTTTCACTGCCAGCACTCTGAATATTTTGAAAAAAAAAAAATCTAAAAAGACCAAAAAAAAAAAAAAAAAAATTGGGATCAGTACTTGCCGAGATATAAGACTGCGAAGTTGGCGCTGGATACTCACCTGATGGCAACATGTAATACTGCCACTTACAGAAGTGTTGCTGACATACCTTTTCTTCTTGTTTTTATTTTAATTTATATAATTTTTGGTTAGAGGAAAGGGCAAAGGAGTGAAGGAGGTTTTGTGTACGAGGGGCTTGGACTTCCTGCAAGCGTGCGTGAGCATGTTAGATAGGAGCGAATGGAGACACATGGTTTTTACAACTTGACGTGCTGTTGGAGTGTAAGCAAGGTAACATTTATCAAGGAATTCAGGGAAACCGGCAGGCTGAACTTGAGTCCTGGAGATGGGAAGTACAGTGCTGGCACTCTGAAGGAGGCCTGTTAATGTTGCAGTTTTATAACTGGCAAGACAGTGATGGAGTGAATAATGATGAAAATTTTTCTTTTTCAGGCCACCCTGCCTTCATGGGAAATGGCTGATGTGTTAATAAAAAAAAATTTTGTTCTGATAATTACAATTTATAATAGTTCTTGTGATTTCACAGCCAATCTTTGTTTTGACACTAATATTAGGTATAGTGGAACCTCAAAAATCGAACGTATCACATATCGAACATTTCAAAAATAAGACCATTTTTTCGGACAAACTGTGTCCCTATTATCGAACGCGCCCCTATTTTCGGACTGCCGGGTACAGGACCTTTCCGCTGGCCCGCTCTGTCCGCATCCCCGCGCAGGCGCCGTGAGCAGTCTAGCTTTGTTTATGCTTGAGTGAACACTAACCTGCGATCTCATTCACACATTTTACGATTATTTAATTGTGTTTAGTGCTTGTGGGGCTGTGAAATAAGCTGCCATGGGCCCAAAGAAACTTGCTAGCGATACCCCTGTGGTAAAGAAAGTGAGAAACACCATAGATGTGAAGAAGGAAATAATACGGAAGTATGAGATTGGAGTGAGACTTGTTGAGCTTGCCAGGATGTACAGAGATGGGACAGTATTGTGTGACGAAACAGATGTGCAGTTTTTGTGAGACAGAAACAGACAACTGTGGACAGTTATTTTGTGAGACAGAACCAGACGACTGTGGAGTTATTTTGTGAGACAAACAGACGATTGTGAACAGTTATTTTGTGAGACAGAAACAGACAACTGTGGAGTTAATTTGCGAGACAGAAACAGACAACTGTGGAGTTATTTTGTGAGACAAACAGACGATTGTGGGCAGTTATTTTGTGAGACAGAAACAGACGACTGTGGACAGTTATTTTGTGAGACAGAAACAGATGACTGTGGAGTTATTTTGTGAGACAAACAGACGATTGTGGACAGTTATTTTGTGAGACAGAAACAGACGACTGTGGATAGTTATTTTGTAAGACAGAAACAGAGGACTGTAGAAAGTTATTTTGTGAGACTGGGGTCCAATGACTCTCAAGCTGGTCCTAGTGGCATTAAAATACAGAGAAGGGAAGCAACCTCAGGGGCTTTGATACCGGAAGTCCTCATGGAGGGGATTCTCCTTCCAAACACTAACCCCAACTCCCTCTCCTCCTCCCTATCTTCCAGATGCCATCACCAATCTTCAGTAAAGGGAAGTAAAAATGTTATTTTATATTACTCTACATAATTAAAGAATATAGCATTTGTTGTGTGTATGTAAAACTGTAATTAATCTCTATAAAATGTATTTTTTTGGTGAATATTTTTGGGTTTCTGGAACGGATTAATTGTATTTCCATTATTTCTTATGGGAAATATTGCTTCGAATTTCAGACTTTTTGAATTTAGAACTAGCTCCTGGAATGGATTAAGTTCGAAATTTGAGGTTCCACTGTACTGAAATACTACTTAAATAGTCACAAACACACAGACAAGTGAACATTTTCACCTGCCTTGGTCATTTACTATTGTATAGAAATATATACAAAATATTTATTGATTCCAGCAATGTTTTAGACACGCTGGAGTATATATGAAACTCCTTGAAGCATGTTGTATTATTGTTGTAAGACGAGTGTCGTTCCACTGCTGACAGTACAGCGGTAGAGTGACACTTGATGATCGTGCACTGCTCCAGGGAACCCTGGCTTTATTTGTTTTCACTGTTAAACACAAACATGTTTGTGTGTCTATCTGTTTATCTGTCTCTTTGTCTCTGTCTGTTTAGCTCTGCTTATCTGTCTGTCTAGCTCTTCTTATTTGTCTGTCTAGCTCTTATCTGTCTGTCTAGCTCTGCTTATCTGTCTTGTCTAGCTCTGCTTATCTGTTTTTCTTTCTGCCTGTGTGTGTCTTTCTGTCTGCCTGTGTGTCTGTCTGTCTTTCCATCTGCTTGTCTCTGTGTCTCGGAGAGTGGCTCGTGAGCCAACAGGTATTACATACGAGCAGAGTCATCACTTCTGATTCCTGATCAAGTGAAAATGAGTATTACTTGCTAGTTATGCTTATTATGCCTTATATCTACAAGCACTGTATAGCACTTAGTCTGAATTTTTTGGGTTATCCTAGGTAATTTACACTATGTATAATTGTACTTATGTGTACCTGTGAGAGAGAGACAGATACAGAGATATAGACAGAGACAGATACAGACAGAGGGACAGCCAACCTGCCGAATGTGTATTACACATGTTCCAGAATCGTTTCTCTTTACTTAGGGCATAGGTTATAGGACATTCTAGCCGGATGACACTACCAGTCGTATCAAAAATGAAAGGATGTTGCACAAATGTTGCGCATGGGTTATTATCGAGGTTTTTTATATTTCCTCAACCACTTGTGGCCACATCCATCTCAACGCCACTAAACTCTGGGTCAACATCACTTTCCTCTTAAAAGGGGAGTGTTAATACGACATGACATAAGTGAATCCCTGGTGTTTGCCAAGCTATTTGCTCTAGCTGGTGCTCAATTGAACTGGTGCTCCCACAAGGTACTAAGTGGTTCCAGATTTTTTAATACTGTGTACTTCAAGTGTTAAGACCCATTCTGTACTGACCAGGCATCTCAGGCCAATCGTGCCAAATTTGGAGGCAGGAAAAATAAAACGTTGATCTATGTTTGGAACACTAGCGGTACTAACATAGATCTATGTTTGGACAGTTTAAGGGTTAAAGTTATGGAAATTCTGCAAAAACAAAAAAAGATGGGTCAACTGCAATTTAACTGATTAAAAAAATACAGTTAACCATTAAATTTCTAATGATTCTGCACAGCCATGTGGGAACTGTTTACCATTTAGATTGATGATTTATATTTTGTGATCTTCAAATAAGCATGATATGATATAATTTATATCAGGCAACATATTTATTCATGTGCTAAATTTCCTTCTATTGAAAAAAATCTTCATGCTATATTTTTATTCAGTAACAAAATCTCTGTTGCCATGCCCACTCAAGATGATTTTGACTTGTATAGTGGGTGTCATGGACAATATTTTTGGGGAAGAAAGCACTGGTTTTATTGTAGAATATGACTTACAAATGTTGCATTAAGGAGGATTCAGGGGAAAGGTGTTTAAGATTAAAATGTGGTGTGAATATTATGCAGATAATAAGTGAAGAAACCAAAAGAAATTTAGTCTCATGAAAATTATGATTTAGGGGAAGGAAGTGGAGGAAGTTGAAATGGTTTGGTTATGTAGAAATGCTGAAGCAAGATTGGTTGACAAGGAGTGTAAATCTTGGATAGTTTGAAGGAGATGTAGGAGACATCCCAGATAGAACTGGCAGTGGATGTGAATATTTTGAAAGGTAGGGACCTGAGCATCTAGCAAGCATGTTAGACAAATGATTCATGGATTTGAAATGAAGTTGGATTGGGAACATGGTATCATAGTACTGTACATCTGAAGAGATTTAAGTAAATTGGTCAGCTGGATTTAAGCTTTAGTGGTTAGAAGCATAGTGTGTCTATTCTCAAAGATAAATGGACATGTTACAGTTTGGCAGATCATTTGAACTGTGATGTCTATTTACTTTTGAAAAGACAATTAGGAAATGAGGGAATGGTTAATGTGTTTTCCTTCTTGGTCACCCTGCCTTCGGTACTTTGAAAATCATAGAAGAAATTATGGATGATAAAAAAAAGTCCTAGGTAGTAGGTTGGTATACAGCAGCCGCCCAGGGAGGTACTACCGTCCTGCCAAGTGTAAAACGGAAACCTGTAATTGTTTTACATGATGGTAGGGTTGCTGGTGTCTTTTTTCTGTCTCACAAAATGCAAGATTTCAGGTATGTCTTGCTGATTCTTCTTACACTTAGGTCACACTGCACATACATGTACAAGCTGATATATATATATATATATATATATATATATATATATATATATATATATATATATATATGTAATATATATGTATATATATGTATATATATGTATATATATGTATATATATATATATATGGTAGTAGGTTGGTAGACAGCAACCACCCAGGGAGGTACTACCGTCCTGCCAAGTGAGTGTAAAACGAAGCCTGTGATTGTTTTACATGATGGTAGGATTGCTGATGTCTTTTGTC